AGATACATAACATTTCCATTATTGAATAACATTCTATTGGACAGCGCCATTCATGAGCTAAACAACAAGCTACATAATATATCAATTACCAAGACTGGATAGCATCCCTTTAGAATGTATTTGTTCATTTGTTCAGTTTTCCTTCTTTCATTTAAGAAACTTCTATTGACCACTCATTACATGTCAGGCATTGTGCTAGGTGATAGGGATGTGGAAATGAAAATATATTCTCTACCCTAGAGAGTTCCTGGTCAGGTGGGAAGACCCAGACAGATAAACAATTATAAGATAGCAAAATAGGTGGTGTAGAGAGGCTAACCCAGCCTGTGGGGTAATGAAGATGATTGAATGGCAGGATAAGTAAGAGTTATCTGATGGAAAAGAAGAGGAGAAAGGCAAACAATTAAAAGATAGCAAAATGGGTGGTGTGGTTAGCCTGTGCACAGGAAGTTGCAGTGAGAACAAGGAGAGACTCACCCAGCTTGTAGGATAATGGAAGTTTTTCACTAAAGGTGATGATTGAATGGAAGGATAAGTTAGAGTTATCTGATGGAAAAGAAGGGGAGAAAGGCTGCTCCAGGCAGAAGGATGACAGAAACTATGGAAAGGGACTGTGGCATATGCAAGGAAGTGCAGGTAGTTTGGTATAGAAAGAGTTTAAGGTGCTCCTAGGGAAGTGGTAAGAGATGAGGCTAAAGAGATAGGCACAGGCCAGATTATAAAGGACCTTTTTTGTCTTGCTTTATTGTGAAGGTGATGGGGAACCATTGAAAAAATGTTAAACTATGAAGTGGCACCAATCACATTTATATCTTACATAAATCACACAGGGAGTAGTGGATGGAAGAGTGGCACAGAAGAAGCAGAGAGATCAGAAAGGAGTGTGTGTTAACATCCAAGCAAGAAGATAGCTTGGACTAAGGTAGAGTCAGATTCAGACTCAGGATGTTTCAGAAGGTAGAGACAACAGGACTGAGTGAATTTGACTTTTAAAGAAGAAAAAAATATGAAGCCATTGAACAAACTGAATAGCATATAATTACAAATGGTCCTCGGTACCAGATGTCTATCAGATTGCTAAATTGTCTTCTATCCCTAGAAAACATTTGAGAAGAAGCCTGAGAGCTATAAATTAGTAAGTGGCACTTCCATATTAGTTAGGTTCTTGTGAGAGAGAGGATAAAAGATAGAGGCTATTTAATCAGATTCTGGATCAATGGATTGAATGCTAGGAGATCTGAATTAGCTATGTGATCCTGGGAATGTCACGACATGTTTAATTTTTTAATCTATGAAATGAAGTACTGAGTGGCTTTTAAAAGCCTTCAGAAGACTAGTGAAAGTATTTCAAAGGGAGTTTCTCTTCTAGCTGCAAGATTTTATGATCCATCGTCTGCATGTCCTATGTACTAAAATAAGTTATTGTGATGATCAAAGTAGGTGGTGTGTGAGAAAGTGCTTTGTAAACTGTGAGGTGCTATTTAAATGTATGGTACTATTATAATTTTGACACTAAGCTCTTTGGTTTGATGCCAAGTAATGGGGCTTAAACTACAGTGCCTTAAATAGGAACTTCTGAAAGAGAAGAAAATGACAGATTATTTTCAGTCCAGAAAAATTCTGGTAGATTAAGATATTAATCTTAATCTGGGAGAGAAATCTGGGAGAATTAGATAATAATTGAAATTGAGCTTATTTTTATGCCTGATATATAAAGTAAGTCTCCTTGTGTTAAAGGAAGTATTTATTTTCTGTGTATGGGTATGTATACGTAGAAATGGTAGAAGCTGAGCTAACATTTACAGCCTTGGTGGGAAGCCATTTAGGGATTCATAGTAAACTGTTACTTGGAAACAGTAGCCTGAGATTGTGGTCAAAACAGCCAACAATATACTGGGTGGTCTTAAGAAAACTACTTTTTACTTTTTAAATTAAAAAGTACTTTTGGGGCACCTGGGTGGCTCAGTCAATTAAGTGTCTGACTCTTGATTTTGGCTCAGGTCATGGTCTCACAGTTCTTCAGATCAAGCCCCACGCTGTCTGTGCAGAGCCTGCTTAGAATTCTCTCTTCTCTCTCTCTCTCTGCCTCTCTCCTGACTCACACACACACTCTCTCTCAAAATAAGTAAACATTAAAAAAATACTTTTACTTTTAATAGGTTATTATAATTTTGCTTATTATTTTTCAATTAAGACCTGATGGTACTAGAGAAAGACAACTCAATTACTGGGGACATGGTTGGGGGTGATGGGGTTGCTACAGTATGAAAGTATGCTACTCTTCGCTGTACGAAAAGGCAATGATGTGAATGAATTACACTAAATATTGAGAAGTGTGGCTGGATTTGCTCAGTAAATCGTAGTTTTCTGGAAATAGGGGGCCTGAGAAAAGTGAGTCACCTATCTATCTAATGAGTCACCTATCTAATGGCTGTAACTACATATGTAGTTAAGTACATAGCAGAGAACCAAGAAGTAAAGGGAAAAAATGATACACCTCTGAATAGCAAAAAGGTTACTCTTACTAGAAAAGTACATATACTCAAAGGCATATATAAAACCTATTTACCTTACTTGTGGGAGAGGCCCCTGCTCAGGCTGTATTTGCTCTTTAGACACAATTCTAGTAGTTGATTAGCTGACTGGCCAGTTTAAGACTATAAGAGGTAGCATATTAATAAGATGAGTGAGAGAGCAGGGAGTAAGAATTGATGTTAAAACTGCAAGAGAGAAGGCAGAAGAATTATAAAGGCTAGATACAAGTACTCAAACAGCACAGCATTCTGAGCTATTTAAATAAATAAATAAATAAATAAATAAATAAATAAATAAATAAATAAA